GACCTACACGAACTAATCATAATGATATATACTATGTCAACAGACATCAATTACACAGTACAACCTGCAATTTATGTAGACTATCAAGCTTAAAACATATTGATCCAAATACCTGCCCACCACTTGGTCATGCTTTATGCAAAATTAATTTATGACTTAATCATTGGATACTTTATAGCTACCCTACAAACAACATTTTATATTATCAAATCTAGATGAGTTTTAACCACTCTAATAGGTTTAGATTGCAGATAAATTAGATAGATAACAGTTAGTTTCTTTCTATAATCTGAGCTTTACTCTTGTAACAAATTTGTAATTGGAATAAATTTTGTAATTTATATTCAGAGAAACCTTTAGAGGCATTTTTAACAAATTAATAAAGATATGAGCAAAACCTCACCTTAACTCCAAAAAAAAAAAAAATTATTTTTTATTATTAGCTTTATATTATTAAAATTTAAAGACTATATATAGCTATTAACAGTTTAATTATTAAAGTTTTTTTTTTAATTATAATTTACAAATATTTTTAAGTTTTAAAGTTTAATAATTCTTGTAAAGAGTAAACAATTTTGTTATATTTGATCTATACAAACTAAACAGTAAAAATAATTTAAAAGTTAATTTTATTGTAATATATATATGTTATTTTTTTAATGTTAAAGCATCTATCTTCAGGATATGACATTTTATTCAAGTATATAGAACATGTTATTTTATTAGGAGCTATCTAATATTGGAGGTTACAACTAGCCACACATGCACTTTTGGTGCCTAATTAAGTAGTTTACTTATATATTATTATATAAGATTTACACTAGATGCTATACTTGCAAGCCAATTAAAAATCTTGTCTATTTAAACTCTCTGCATATGCAAACTTTCTTGTATCATGAAAACATCTTCAAGGCTACATCTATTCAAGTTTCTAATACTAGTTGGTACTCTTAGAACTACTTTATTCTTAACAGGAAACTTACTAGAGCCTTTATGTCTTACATATACTAATCTAGTTTTATGCAATATGCTATAGTTATCTAATACTTGCAGTTATAGAAGTTATCTGTTTAACCACTATGTTATACTATTTTTACTTTTGTAAAGTTTACTAGAACTCCAGTACCTATCTTCCCAGCATCTTTTCTATTATCTCTTATTAGCCACAACTCAGAACTGTCAGTCTCATTCCAAACTACCAATTCAGATGGCCTAGTATAATATACTTCTGTATTTTTTTTCTTCAGTAAGTCTGACAGCCTAGTTGGTTATATGCTTCTTTATATATATTTGTCATTTGGTTTTAATCTTTGGTTTCTATGAAGGTGTTTTTGGGCTTTAACCAGTTTAATAGTATCATCAAAAGTTTATGCTACTTCTTTACTTAGAAATTTCCAAGTAGGTTTTTGTTATCTTGGTTTCTTAGTCTTTTATGCTTGGTGGTCTTATCATAAGTTTGCATTAAAGTCTTATGCAATACTAGTTATACATTTCTCTATATACATGTAATATTATATTTTATATAAATGCTTTGAGCTTTCAATATCAGTAGGATCTAACTTAATGTACCTGGGTTACAGCTGCATAAGGCCAACTGATCAACAGAAGACAGTTACTATAATGCAAATATAATTTTCAAATTTTATTATAGGTAGAATTTGAATCTTAGACCTGCCACTTGGAGGATAAAAACCCAACTATTGCACTAGAATTATCATCTTCTATTGTGATATATTATAATATTTAAAAGGCTATTAAATTTAAATTTTATTTTTAAATATTTATTCTTTATTTTTTTGATTATTTTCTTTTAAATAAAAGATTTTTACTTAGCTTTTGCTAACTGTAAAATTTGCTACAGTTTAATAGTTTTTATTAAATTTTATTATATATTATATTAAAATTATTATTTTTTTTTGCTAAATATGATAACTTAGTAAAATAGATAAGTTGTCAATTTTCTAAATAGTAGTTTGAATGTTCAAATTTTATTAACAATAAAAAATTTAGAAAATCACCTATGTAATACTTATATTATGACAACTGTTTTTAATAATTAGATTTAAGATATTTGTAATAATAGTTATATTAGCATAACTAACAGATTATGAGGTATCTGTATATATAGCATTATACAAAAAAATGCAAACTAGTATTAGACAATGCAAACTTTAGATAAGTTCTTGTAATTATATAAATCTATTAAAATTAAAAAACAAAAAGTCTATTTAAAAAGACCTAAATAGAAAAATAGTACAAATTTTTAATGTTACTACTATAAAGGTTAGATCTAAAAAATAAATACTAATATCAAAGTACTTAGATAAGCAAAAATTTTTAAATAAAAAGTACTACCAACTAGGTTGCTAAAATGAACTAAAGAAAAAAGATATTAAGCTAATCTGATATATCAATAGACTAGTTGTAATTCTATTAGACTATCTGGATTAGAAGTTTGAAAAACAGACAAAAATATATTAAAGTATTAGAAATATACTGTAAAGTAGATACTAATATTAAGTAAACTCTACAAAAACATAATTGTTTAATGATTAGCTCTAACTACAAGTGTTGGTTTTGCTATAGCAATATTTAGGTTAGCTATAAAAATAAGTACAAAAGGCTTTAAGAAGTTTACTTTGAAGATAAATAGTTCTAAAATTAAAATAATAATCTAAGTATAATTTAGTAAAGTTAATATAAGTTTAGATTTAGAAAGTTTAAAATAAAACACTTAAGTAAAGGTGTTAGGTATAGCAATTAGTAAGAAATCTTTAAACAGACTCTTTAAATAAATAATATAAAAAAGTTAGCATATAGCTAATTGTACACTTTTCTTATAATAGTTTATAGAATTATATTATCAAACAAGTTATTAATAAAGATTAAAAAACCAAAAAGAACATCTTAAAAAAAAAATTATTATTCTTTTTTTATAAAATTTATTTATTTATTTATTTTTTGGTTTGTTAAAGTTTCTGTTTTTAGAAAATAATTTTTATTTAAGTTATTATAAATATAAAAATCTTTAATAAACCTTTTATATAGAAAATTACAGTTAGCTATATATGCATTTTTGATATAGTTTGCTTATAAATTACTATATAGATTCTATACAAAATTTTGTTTTTTTTAGTTTCTTAGTTTTTAATATCTAATAGTTTTATTATAGATTTATACTGAAGTTTTATGCAATATTAGTTTTAATATTTCTTTATATAAAGTAAGAGGAGGTATTATAATACAGTTAACTTCTTCTATAAGATAACTTTATAAAATTAACTTACAAATCATAAAATTTTAATAAATATTTATTTTAAAGGTTTTAAATTTTTATTTTTTTTTATTTTTTTTTAACAAATTTTATATAAAAAAAAATATTCTATAATAAGTAAAAATTTTTTAATAAACCTTGTAATCTTTAGACAGTGAACCAAAAATGATACACAGATTTAGATAAGTAACATTTAATTATCTAAATGACTTTTTTTTTTTCTTTGATTAATTGTTGTTTTTTTTTTTGCTTTTTCTGCTTGTTCCTTTTTAGCCTTCTGTTTTATTCATTTCTGAGCTGCAATTTCTTTCTTATATTTTATCTTATTAGCCTTTTTTTTAGCATCTTCTGCATCTTTTAACAAGTTTAACAATGTTTCACTAATAAGCAGTTAAGAAAAGAGCATCATCATTTACTTTTTTCTTTTAGGTACCTGTGACTTAAGTTAATTTTTAGTATTAATCTTTAATTTTTCTTTGACTGGTTTTGAATAAGACAAAAAATACTTAAAAATTATTTATAAAGATGTTGTGCCAAGATTTTTGAAGATTTCCAATTCTTTTTTAACTATTTTCAACTTAGCCTCTAATTCTTTGACTCTTGCATTAAGATCTTTGACTTTGGATCTTAAGATGGTATAGAGATATATACAATTTAAGCTTGGCATTAGAGAAAAAGATGTGAAAAAAGATTGTGAGAATAATGTAAAAGACTGTAATGATGCTATGGCAGAAGATGACTTTGAAAATAATGCTATAGAAGAAGCAGACTATAAAGATGATGCCATAGTTATATAAGATGATTGTGTTGAAGGAATTTCAGTAACTAATGAAGAATTAAGATAGTTAGGACTAATTGTACTAGAATTAAAAAGCCATATCCTAGTTGCTTTAAAGGCATTACAAATTGCTGAAGGTGTGTAAATTTTAATATATATCAGACTTAAAACCTTGGTAAATGTGTACTTAGTTATAAACTCTCTATTATTACTAACACAAAGTTGTTTACAGCCTTTAGTGTATGCATCTTTAAGCTGTACAAAGGAAAGTTCAACAGATTGAAGTATATAGGTAGTGTGAAATAGGAGCATGTATAGAAAAATATTGTTGTTATGACAAATATTAACATTGATATAGCTAACATGACTCTTATGTCTATCAAGAATCAAAAGAACAGGATGAGTAGGCAGAATTAAGCAAATAAAATGCTTAATATACTTTTAGAAAAGGGATTCTCACATATATCTAGTTTCTGTAAATCCTATAACAAAACTAAAGGAGATGCCATCTAAGAGGCCTAGAATTATATACTTTTCTTTGTAAATAATAAGCAAGAGAATATATGTTTCAGCAGTAGAGATAGTAGGACACATAGAAATATGCTCATTAGAATTTCTATAAGAAACTTAATGGATCTATTATTAGAATAGTAAAAAATATGGTTGACAAATTTTAATATTATTTAAAATATTTATGCTTTATTATTATTAAATACTAATAACCAAATTTACTTTATCTGTCATATATCTTTTTTTGCAATAACTTTACAAAGTTTAGGATTAAGAACAAAACCTGTTTCATTCATGTTCCAAATTCAATCAACAGTAAGAGAATAAGGGTATGGCGACTTAGTGAAGTGGATAAGTTGTCATACCCCCAAGTAGTAGGTTGTAAGTTCAAAACCTACTGACAGCAAAATTTGGATAATCACCTATATAATATATAGATGGTATTACGGCGACAGCATTCTGTCGATCAGTTGGGATAGGATACCTGTAACTATGGCGCACCAGCATGACTTGCAGGTCTGGGGCATCCATGTAACCTGTTACACAGAGGAATGCAAACTGGTACCAGGCAGTGCAAACCTAAAATAAGTCCTTGGGCTGTGTAAATCCATAGAACTGGGAAGCTGGAGCCCACTTGAAAATTCCGAGTAGAGAGGTAACATGGATCTTCGACAGTACTACTGTAAAGGCTAGACCTAGGAAATGGATACCAATGTGAAGG